GTTACCATCTTGGGGTAATCAAGGGGTTAAGTATATGCCGATCAAGCGTTAATGTGTGTGATATGTACTGCTTTTTACTAAATATATTTCTGTTCCTTCTCCCTGCTTTGCGGGGTGGGCGATTGTCACACGCGTGCCCTAAACCCGAAAGAAGGTGCCAATGTTCATGTACATAATTGTGCCTGTACGGGCCGCCCGCCCGCAGTAAAATTACTGCAAGTGGTCAGCAAGTGATTATTGGGTCTAAATAACTTGTCCCAGATAGGCCCACTCCTTGTACTCATTGTGGACTTTTGAGAAGTGACATATTAGAGACCTGGGTGTCTTCTTCAGAGGACTTTTCTACATTGGAGAAGTCCACTTCCTTGAACCCTGTTTCAATTCCTACTTTTCAAACCTGCAAAAAGGTGAAGTAGCAAGTTGCAAGGTAGCTTAAGTGTTGATAGGTACCTAGACCTCTTATAGTCACTTCTACGCAGATCCTAACAGAAAACATAGTAGAAAACACAGCTGAGGTTTAAGCCCCTGAAGGAGTTAGGGAGAAACTGAATAAGAGCCAGAGCTGGTTTGCTACTCCATAAGAGAAATTGTGGAAGGAAGATGGTCTCTTGAAATAAGTGGATAGTGCCTTTCTTTCCTATGGGTGAACTAAAGCCAGACAGATGAATGATATCCTTAATTAGGTGAAAGGCAGAGACTACTTTAGAAAGCAAAAAGTTCTAGGCTTCAGCATCACCTTGTCATTCTGCAAAAGCAGAAAGGGTTCTTTGCATTACAAGGCTGCCAGTTCAGATACTTGCCTTGCGTAAGTGATGGCAGTAAAGAATACTTCCATGTGGGTAAGAGTAGACAGAGGAATTTTTCTAATAGGTTCGAACAACGGTTTCTGATGTGCAGAGATCTGGGTTTAGATCTCATGGAATAACAGGGGAACTGACAATGGCAGCTCATGAGAGCCTCCACGTACAAAAAGGTCCTAACCAAGGAGTTAGAGGCCGACCATCTCTGAAACAAAAACGGAAAAAGCAGAAATGTGATCCTTGAGTACTAACAGCCATATGCTGGTCCAAACCCAGCTGCAGGAAGGAGAGGACTACTCCTATTGAGAAACGTGCAGAGGGGGGAACCTTGAGACTCACAAAATGAAATGTGGCTTTCATGTCTGATGGTAAACCTTGCGAGAAAACTGTTCTAGCTTTTAGCATCATATCATCAATCATAGATGCAGAAAGGCTTCTGTCTCTCAAAACCTAGGCTTTAAAAGCCATTCTAACGGGGCTTCAAAAATTAAAGCAACTGTGAAGCAGAATAGTAAATTGGCCATTGAGACAGAAGAAACTAAAGATCTGCGAGAGCCCATGGAGTATCTGACAAGAGTTATAGCCAGTTGGCAATATCAAATCTGCCTGTGCTAATTCACGGCTATAAAAAAATTACCAGAACACCCTACATATCAATTCTGCAAAGCAGACAAGGAAGTAGTTTCAAAAAAGATAAAAGCATAGATCAAAGTGTGCTGATACCACAGAGCCACTAGAGCATCCACTGCTTCTACTAGAGGATCCCTGTACTTGGAGACAAACCTGCCCAGTCGGTTGTTGAACCTGGAGGCTGGGAAATCTGCATACAGTGTCTCAACCTTCAGCACAGGTCCTATAAGAACTCTGAGTGTAGGGACCACTTCATTGGGTCCAGGCACTGCAGAAGATATCTGTTTGCCAGTTGCTCACCTCTCAGATGTGCACAGTGTACAATGCTGGAACACGAAGTTCTGCCCAGGACAGGAGTCAATCTACCTTTGCTTGTCACTGAAAGACTTCTGCTTTCTCCCCGATGGTTGATGTACACTCCCACAATGGCACTGTCCAACTAAATTAGAATTAGATAACCCTTCAATAGAATGGTGCAAAGCTGCACAGTCACATTTTTTGAAGTTCCAACATGTTGTTTTAGAGACAAGACTCCTCTGACAACCAAGGCCCCTGCACCAACAGATACCCCAGGCTCAGCTAGGTACAGAGGCTGGAATATGTCATAAGGATCTTTCAAAAGTCGGGACATGTCACAAACCGGTAGTGTATGGGTACTACAGCAAAATGATGCCAAGAAGGACTTTGTGGGTCACCAAAGCTACCAGTGAGTCTCCATGGTTTGGTGAAGCAACAAAGTACCTGGTGGAATTTATCTAAAATTTCTGGGTTTGAATGAAGACATTCAGGGATTCTGGATCCAAACTTTGTCAGATGCCTCCTTTGGGTTCGGGAATTGTGAATGGGTAAGTTCACTGAAACCGTTTTGCCACAGAAAGTGGGACAACAATACTCAATCCAGAAGACTGGATAGGGCGGACAGAAATATGCTAATCTGTTCTTTGCCACAAGAAAGTTGTAGGAGAGGAAACAAGTAGGGAGCATGGAGCAAAACACCAGCTTGCAGCCATGGAAAACCACCAACTCTCTCACCCAGGTTATGGAGATGCACGCAGCCCAAGGGGTTTATTTATAAAGCAAAGAATGTAACTGTCGCCAAACATTCTCTGGTGGACAATCACTGCAATATAAAAACACACAGATCTGGAAGGATCTCCACCAGTAAAGGTTCAGTGAAAGTCACATTCTGAATTACAAATAGGTCCTCAAGTGTCTGCAAAGGTTAATAACTCTGCTAAGTGGGGGCACACCTTCATCCCAAAGAAGATTTGCCAGAGCATTTGGTGGACTTTGAGTTCCAGACCTTGCAGATGGACATGTGGTCAGGACGTGGATGCTGAGGGAGTAGAGGAGCAAAAGAGTAATTTCTTAACCAATGCAGAGGGAGAAGAATTTGCAGTCTGTTCCTTAGACTTCTTACTCTGAGGAAGATGGATACTATTACCAGCAGTGGCGTCCTTGCTAATGGTATCAAGAGAGGATCTGGTGAGGCATTGTCCTCAAAGACCATTTGGATTAGACATGGTTCCACAGTTCAGCAGTTTAACCACAGTGTCCTCCACATGTGTACCAAGAGGTGACCTATAAAGGAGATGAGACAGGAAGCCTCCAAACTGTAACTGTAGCTTAATGCCACAACCATTTTCTTCAAATGTTCTACAACCAAGATTTCAACTGCAATAAAAGGCAAGTTCTCTTTTAAGAAACTTCAGCCAGCCAACCAAGATTTGGCAAGGTTAGGTAACAGACAAGATGGGCCAAAGCAGGTCCTATCAGTGAGAACAGAACTCTAGAGAGCTTCCAACACTATCAGTTGGGTCACTTACAGAAAGGCAACATCCTCCTCCAGTATGACAGTTGTTTTGTTTAAGCGGGACACTGGGATTTGCACGGGGAACAGACCGCTTTTTTTCAAAACTTGTTTTAAAACGGTTACAGGGTAATAAGCGTAAGGAGGAGGAAACATCTTGTCAGGGTGTTTCCAATCTGCACAGATAGACCTGAACAGCAAGTCCACCAGGACAGTCTTTGTTGTCTTAAAGGCTCGAAAGGGGTCAAAGCCTGGGACTATCACAGGCAAAAGCAACAGGCGGTTACTCAGGTTATAAAGTTGCGAGTACCACATCAATAAAAGCTGAAATGATCTCTTAACTTGGGAATAATGAAAAAACTGCAACTCCTTGGAAGTAAGCTCTCAGGTGAAGACAGGAGTTACTCAATCTAAGCAGCAGAGGGTATCAAAAGAGGGACACTGAAACAGCCCCAGAACTGGAAGTAAAATCTGAGCAGGGGGGCATTCAGTACAGTGGGACTGCACCCTTACGTGTAGAATCAGACAATAAGTGACCGTGTAACGGTGGTCAACATAAGGTTCAGCAGAACCATCTGAGATCTGCTTCCTCAACACTGTATGGAGGGAGAGAGAGCATGTGCGAGCAACACACTACCCAGGGGATGACATCAAGACTTCGTCCCACAGCGGGTAACGTCTTCCACAGTGAAAACTGTCAGGAACCACTTATTAAAAAAAAAACCCCAGTGACTTGGGCGGTAGCTCACAATGCTCGTCTCACTCATAAAAGGGAGTGTTCAGAGAGACACAGGACAAAGTGCTAAAGGGCAATGTCAGCAGTTCTAGACCTGGAAAATACTTTGCTGCTAACTTTTTGCCTGAGTGTGGAAACCACCTTATATAAAACCCAGTATCCAAAGGTCACTTCCAGGCTATCCACACAACGTTCAGTCCACTGGGGTCTGCAGCAGCACTCCAAAAGCCAGGCCAAGGATGGCGGCATTAGTTGGTTTCTATTACACAGCAGAGCTTTAGTCCAATCTGCATAGGACACTAACAAAACCTAAAGAGTTGAAATTGAAGTGCCACACCACTGCTAAGAGATCCAGATACAAGTGAACAAACCAGCAGTGAACTGAACCTACAAATGGTATTTATTCCACTATGACCTGAAAGTACAGGCCTGATCAGCAGCTTGTTTGGCTGCTTCTGCATGCAGCTTCCCCCACAGCCCCCCAAATGCTCACCTGAGCATGATCTCGATTCAGAGGTGTACATGACAGCCAAGGCTCTCTCGGCTCTCCTGCTCCTTAGTGGCTCAGATACAGCAGCAGAAGCCATTGGCTCCTGCTGCAATCAAGAGCCAGTAAGGAGAGAGGAGGGCAGAGCCATACTCAGCTCTGTGTGTCTTTTTGACACAGAGCAGGGCTCGGGAGCAGACAGGCATTAGTGCCCCCAGAGCAAGCGGCTTGCTATGGGGGCACTGGGCAGGGGGATCGGGGCTGCCCTGTGCAAAACCATTGAACAGAGCAGGTAATTATGACATGTTTGTTATTTTAATAGAAAAACAATGAAGCCTTACAATCATTTTAACCTTTCAAGAGGATTTGTTCATACAAAATACTGTGGGACCCACTGGAATGTGGCTTGGGATTAGCTATTGCACACAGAACAAGTCAGAAAATAAATAGTAAGCAGCACTAAGCCAGGAATTCAAATTCACAAAGTATACGGTTATATAAAGGAAACATTTTTGTATGGTAAATAAAAGCACTCACTTCATCCTCACTCTGAGAATTGTGTTCACTTTCTCTTGTGCTACTATTGTAACCGGGATCTGAGGGAAGGTTTTCATCTTGCACATCCATTGTTGTAAAATCAGTGACATCACCTTTCCTGCCTTTATCTCCTTCATCCAGCTCAAATTTAACCTGTGTTTGCTGATTAACCTCTGAATCTGCTTGTGTCGGTACCTGTACAGTACTGTATGCTGGTTCTATAGTACGTTCATTGTCTTGTTCCAAAGAAATACAGAGCTTTTACCCTCTGGATTTTTTTGATCCTGGTCCCTTTTAGCAGCTGCATTTTCAGGATCCTGGTCCCTTTCCGAGGCTGGGTTTTCAAGATTCTGGTCACTTTCAGACGCTGGATTTTCTGTATCCTGGACACTTTTAGACGCTGAATTTTCAGGTTCCTGGGCATTTTCAGCTGCTAGATTTTCAGTCTCCTGGACATTTTCAGATGCTGAATTTTCAGGTTCCTGGACATTTTCAGACACTGAATTTTCAGGGTCCTGAGCATTTTCAGCTGCTGGATTTTCAGGGTCCTGAGCATTTTCAGCTGCTGGATTTTCAGGGTCCTGGGCATTTTCAGCTGCTGGATTTTCAGTGTCCTGGGCACTTTTAGCAGCTGGGTTTTCTGGATATAAATGATTAGGTGCTGAATTTTCAAGATCCTGGTCATTTTCAGCCATTATATTTTCAAAATTCTGGTCACTTTCAGCTATATGATTCAACTTAATTGTTTGTGAGGGACTTCCAGCTTCTTTATCTGTGGAATCATCAGAGCTTTTCTGTAAAGAACTCAAGGAATCCTGGTTATTGGTATGTTGTAACAATGCTCCACTTGAAATATCTGACTTTTTAGATTCATTTCCATTAACCATTATCAGAGATGGGATTGTGCTCATCTCCTCAGTTTCTCCCATTTTCTTTACTAACTGAGTGAAACCCTCCTGCTCTGCAGATGTAACAGAATCATTAGGTCCATTTTGTTTCTCCATCATATTAGCAGTGTGATCAGTTTCCAGTCCTTTGCATTCCTTGTTTTCCCTTTCTGCATTTCTCTCACACGCTGAAACAATCATTGCAGATTTCAAAAATGAAAAATTTGCTAATTTATTTGCATCTATCACCACTGCAGGTTTACTGGACATCAATATAACTTTGGCTTTAGGAGCAGAATCCTGTGGGCTGGAGCTTAGGGCAGTAGTTGTTGAGCACTTTAGTACTGGCATACCTCCTGACCGAAGGTGAACCCCACCACTACTAGCATACGCCACAACTTTGGAGCCAGATGGAGACCCCTCACTGCTACCTCTAGGCGGTGTTCCTATTCGTAGTGTAGCAATTTGAGATGGACTTGTTGGAATTACTGTAACCCCGGACTTAACTGGGCTGATCTTAGATAGAGACACAGTTTGTAGAGCAGGTGTCGGAGGAACAGATGACGACTCAGTGGTAGCAAGAGTAGGAGTGGCAATGTCAGTCTTGTTTTTAAGAGGTAGTTGAATACTCACTGCAGGACCTTAGGGTGAAAAATAAAAGTATTTTGGTTAGCTTTGAAATATCTAAACATTCTGAAGTGCACAAAGGGCAACAAATGTGGTACTAAAAATAGTACATTCAGATAAACACTTGAATGGATATTTATCAACCATGAAGTTTTTTTTTTTTCAGTGAGTGCTTTTCTCTCAATTAGATCAAATACAACGGTGCTCCAAATATGAAGCCAGGACCCTCATCTGTTTTTTTGGTCTGCCCATATTCAAAAGGAGTCAGGTGCTGATGTAGCAAATAATTTTAGAATCCCAAAACTAGAGCAAGTCAAGCATGGGGGGTTGAGGAAGCAAAAAGAAAGAGAAAGGGCAATACAACATCATATCTTGGTGTAGTAAGGTCTCAATTTACAGAGTTCTGATCATGAATAAAAATTGTGGCATTTTCTGCAGAAGATAACAGTGTAGCTTTTAGAAAAAAAACAGAATTTTTGCACTTACCGTAAAATCCTTTTCTTGGAGTCCGTTTAGGGACACAGGACATCTTTAACCTTTGAGTTATACTGCCACCTACAGGAATATTGGGCCCTGGCAAACAAACAAAAAACTGTGGGCCAGCCTAAGTTATAAACCCTCCTACCAGAATGCCTCAGTTTTGCAACAAAGAAGTGCTGAGAGCAGGAACTTCTTCTTGATCATTGGCGATTAAAGTGGAAGTGGGCTTTAGCCCGCTGTTGGATGAATCTGGGTCACAGAAGCGAAGAACTAAGTGCACTCCTGTGACCCACAGGAAAAGTATGGCCAAAAGAGCTTTGGCCATAATTCTCTTTTAAGTCAGGAGATGGGTCATAGGAACTAGTAGGTTAGCCTGATGTAAGGGCTCTGGAGGATAACAGACTGCGCAAGGGGTGACGCTGGAGTGTATCGAGGCCTTCTGAGGTCAATGAACACAAGGAATCGAGTACACGTGGTCAAAAAGACCTTGGTGGATATGAAGAACAGAGCTGGAGGACCCCACCCAACGAAGCTGAGAAAGATTCTGATGAAGATGGCCCAAAACCATTGTGGGAACTAGGGATGCACCAAAATTTCGGCCACTGAAACACATCAGCCAAAAATAGCCCTATCGGCATTCTGCTGATCGGAAACATTTAGCCGATACAGGGGACTGTGTGTACTGAAGATTTGAGGGGGCGGATGAGAAAGGCAGCAGAGGAGCGGTGTATACAGTGACTGGCTGTCACTATATGTCGGTACCGGTTTTTTAAATGTAATTACCGGCTTTTTTTTTCTCTTCACTATAGCTCAGAGAATCAGCTGTCACTTTCCCCCCAGCTAAAAAAAAAAAAAAAAAAAGAACCACAACACATTTTGCTTTTAGTTTATTTCCCCAAGTTAAAAGAAACAAAAAGGTTTCCTTTTATTTCCTTTCCCGAGATAAAAGAAACAAAGTTTCCTTTAGCTCTGGAGAAAGTGACAGCTAATTTTGTGAGCTATAGTGAAGAAAAAACAAAAAAAGCCGGTAGTTGCATTTAAAAATCGGCACTGACATATAGTAACAGCCAGTGAGGGAGCCTCTCTGTATACACGGCTACCTCACTGTATACACTGCTCCTCTTCTGCCCTCCACTGCTCCTATTCAGAACCTATCCAAACCTCTCCAAAATGTGTACCAAATGAGACACATTGGTCTCCAGTAGCAAAGAAAATTGCTCCCTTAGAAGTAAATCGTCCAGGTACCCTTTAACAGGAATACCAGGGATATGCAGGAGCCCCAGAACTGTGGTGAACACTGTGGAAACTGAACAGGCCAACGGCAGTGCAACAAACCATTGCAAAGAGTAGAAACCTTTAGTGAGGTGAAAGTCTGGAATATGCAGATAAGCATCCTAGATATCCATGGATGCCAGGAAATCTCCCTGCTCCCTCCTGGACACCACAAATTGCACCTATTCCGTTCAGAACTTCTGCACTCTGAAAAACTTGTTGAGCCTCTTGAGATCCAGGATGAGGCAAACATAGACGTTCAGTTTTGGAATCATTAAGAGCTTCGAGTAGAAACCTAAAATCGTAATACAGCAGAGAGAACATCCTTCCCTTCAAAAGGGGAGGATTTTCTCTCTGAAATGTATTCCCAGAATTCATTCTGACTTGATACGAGCAGGAAGGAGAAAGTACAGTGGCCCTCTCTGTGAAAGGGTCTCCCTCAGTGCAGTCCTCTGTTTCACCTCTCTGTAGCAGCACTGTTCTGATATCCAGTGGCAGTGGCACAGACCCCAGATTGCCCGTTTCATCCAGCCATCCAGGACACGCTCTGCTTTTACATGCTGGTTTTAACTCATGTGCTTGTGAATGCATTTCCTACCTTGTTTTCCTTTATGTGTGCCTAATCTATTAAAGCTTACTATGCTATAATGCTGTTGTGTGCCATTCATTCCCTGCCTTTGTTTCCTAATCCCAGATGGAACTGGTCGCGAATTTCATGCAGAGACTGCACACACATGACCATCACATGTCCATCATCCTCCAACTTGCAAATACAGACTTGCTGGGTAGAGGGGGGTTTTACTGGTGGCTTGCTCATTATTTTTGTTTGCCAGTGTTCCCTCTAGGTGGCAGAATATCAAGATTGTACCCAACTTCTTATGTTCCTCAAAGAATAAAAAATAAAAAGCTCTTTTCATCCTGGAGTAGAAAGACTTAATGATTTATTTTCCATTTACCTGGACTGCGGATAACAACTCGCTGGTTTTGTTGAACGTTAGTAGATTGAATTTGTTGCAATGGCAAAAGCTGGATAATCTGCCCATTTGGGTGCCTGAATAAGTTGATTCCATTAGGACCCTTAATGGGTTGTAAGACCATTTTCTGGCCAGGACTTGTTTGCACACTCTGTACTGGGCGAACTGGATTAGAGCCATTGGAGACTGGTATTAGGAGAAGTCGAGGGCCCAATCGCTTATCAACTCCTGAGGTTAAGGTAGCCCTTTGTGTTGCTGCAGACGGTGAGGTTACTGAAATTATAAACAGAACAACATTAGCTGAAAAATGGGGGAGATGTCAAAGTATTTTATTATAGTTAAGAAAATTGTATATGGAAACAGGAATGGCTATAAAATAGTGAATATGTGAATACATTTGATACTAAATGAGTAGTGAAGTATGATTTATTTACTGATGTGGCTGGGCCAACAAATGTCAACACGTTAAGTCTGCGCATTTCCTAAATAACACAAAATTTAAAGTACAACTAAAGGCTTTTCTTTTTTTTGCTAGAGTAAATAAAAATCTGAAACTTCTTCCAGGCTTTTTTGAAATCTGTGTGCCATTGGAAATAATTACCTTCTTTCCTGTTCCAAAAATACAAGGAAAGGTCCCAGAATAAAAGAAATCTCTTTAAAAGGAAGCGGTCATTGGAACCAATGAAGTAATCCAGCTGGAAAACTTCCCCTACATTCCAGAGACCACTATAAAAATTTTGGATTTGCGCTGAAACTGCCTCTTAGGGATCATTCACATGCATGTATAGATTATGGAAAATGAAGCAGCGCTCATTCATGAGACTACAGCATTTATGTCATATTTTTGATGCATTTTGTATCGTTGAAAAAAAGCATCAAGAATGCTTGTTAAATGCCCATAAAAAGTTGTTCTTCTAGTGAAAAGTGCTTAACCACTTAACCTCTGGACGATTTTACCCCCTTCATGACCAGGGCATTTTTATTGCTATTCAGCACTGTGCTACCTTAACTGGCAAGAGCTCGGTCATGCAACACTGTACGCAAATTACATTTATATAATATTTTCCCACAAATAGAACTTTCTTTCGGTGGTATTTGATCACCACTTATTATATAAACAAAAAAAGACCAAAAAGTTAAAAAAAAAAATCTTTTCTACAGTCATAAAAACACATCCAATAAAAAAAAAAAAAAAAAAAAAAAAAAAAAAAATCAAATTATTTCATAAATTTAGGCCCAAATGCATTCTGCTAAATCTTTGGTAGAAAAAAAAAACAACAGTATATTGATTGGTTTGTGGAAATATAGCATCTACAAACTAAAGAAGTATTCAAACCCTTTTAAATTTGCCACATTTTGTCATGTTACAACCAAAAACAAATGTATTTTATTGGGATTTTATATTATAGACCAACACAAAGCGGCAAATAAATGTAAAATGGAAGGAAGATGATACGTGGATTTCAAAATTTTTTACAAATAAATATCTGAAAAGTGTGATGTGCATTTGTACTCAGCCCCCCTGGAGTCCATACTTTGTGGAACCATCTTTCTCTGCAATTACAGCTGCAAGTCTTTTTGGGGATGTCTTTACCAGCTTTGCACATCTACAGAGTAAAATTGTTGGCCATTCTTCTTTACAAAATAGCTCAGGCTCTGTCAGATTGGATGGAGAGCTTCTGAACAGCAATTTTCAAGTCTTGCCACAAATTCTCAATTGGATTTAGGTCTGGACTTTGACTGGGCCATTCTAACACATGAAGATGCTTTGATCTAAACCATTCCATTGTAGTTCTGGCTGTATTTTTAGGGTCGTTGTCCTGCTGGAAGGTGAACCTCCACCCCAGTCTCAGGTCTTTGGCAGACTCTAAGAGGTTTTCTTTCAAGATTGCTCTCTATTTGGCTCCATCCATCTTCCCCTCAACTCTGACCAGCTTCCCTGTCCCTGCTGAAGAAAAGTATCCCCACAACATGATGCTGCCACCACCACGTTTCATGGTGGGGATGGTGTGTTCAGGGTGATGTGTAGTGTTAGTTTTCCGCCACACGTAGCGTTTTGCTTTCAGGCCAAAAAATTCAATTTTGGTCTCATCTGACCAGAGCACCTTCTTTCACATGTTTGCCCTGTCCCCCACATGGCTTCTCACAAACTGCAAATGGGACTTATGACTTTTTTTCAACAATGGCTTTCTTCTTGCCACTCTTCCAAAAAGGCCAGATTTGTGGAGTGCATGACTAATAGTTGTCCTGTGAACAGATTCTACCACCTGAGCTGTGGATCTCTGCAGCTCCTCCAGAGTTACCATGGGCCTCTTGACTGCTTCTCTGATTAATACTCTCCTTGCCTGGCCTGTCAGTTTAGGTGGACAGCCATGTCTTGATAGGTTTGCAGGTGTGCCATACGCTTTCCATTTTTGGATGTTGGATTGAACAGTGCTCTGTGAGATGTTGAAAGCTTGGGATATTTTCTTTATAACCCAACCATGCTTTTAACTTCTCCACAACTTTATCCCAGACCTGTCGTGTGTTCCTTGGCTTTCAAGATCCTGTTTGTTCACTAATGTTCTCTAACAAACCTCAGAGCTTCACAGAACAACTGTATTTATATTGAGATTAAATTACACACAGGTGGACATTTAATCAGATGACTTCTGAAGGCAATTGGTTAAACTATATTTTAGTTAGAGGTATCAGAGTAATGGGGGCTGAATACAAATGCACGCCACACTTTTCAGATATTTGTAAATTTTGAAAACAATTTATCATTTTCCTTTCCTTCCATTTCACAATTATGTGCCACTGTGTGTTGGTCTATCACATAAAATTCCAATAAAATACATTTATGCTTTTGGCTGTAACATGACAAAATGTGGAAAATTTCAAAGGGGTATGCATACTTTTTCAAGGCACTGTATATACTGGAATTTACACCGCTATGACGTTTTACTAGCAGTGGTGGTGATAAGCAACCTATTATGGGACTGATAGTGTGGTGAGCAATCTTGTGCTAGCTGAGGCTGGCTGGGAGGGACACTGACATCAAAAGTGACACTAATACAGTGATCAGTGCTAAAACTGTACACTGTCCTAATGACACTGGCTGGAAAGGAGTGAACATCAAGGGGCAATCGTGGTTAATTTTGTGTCTAACAATGTGTAATGTGTTTAACCGCTTAAAAGACCCGCCCTATAGCAGATTTACTGCTACAGGGCAGCACCTGTGCGCAGAATCATGTATATATATATATATATGCGATTTTGCATTCCGGGTAGGGGGCACACGCTAACCGCGTGTGCGCCCTACCCATGCTGCTGTTTGCGGCCGCGGATGTCAATCATCGGGACCCAGCCGGTAATTACCCGCCGGTGCCCGGTAATTACTGAGCATCTCCAAGAGGGAGGAAGATTGTTTTGTTTACAATCTTCCTCCTTGTCAGCTCGAGCACACTGCTCAGGATGGCTGTGCACGGCACAGCCATCCTGCTCAGTGTGCTTACAGTGAAGAACACACCCCTAGCAAAACACTCCCAGCACACAGTTAACCCTTTAATCGCCCTCACATTAACCCCTTCCTGCCCAGTGTCATTAGTACAGTGTCAGTGTTTTTTTTTTTTTTTTTTTTTAGCACTGATCACGGTCTTGGTGTCACTGAGGATGTCATTGACACCAAGTTATTTCCCCCCCAGTGTCAGAATGTCCGCCGCAGTCCTGCTAAAAGTCGCTGATCGCCGTCATTACTAGTAGAAAAAAAAAAATCCCATTATCTATACCGCCATTTGTAAACGCTATAACTTTCATGTAAACCAATTAATTTACACGTATTGGGATTTTTTTTTTAGCTAAGACATGTCACAGAATACATTTTGGCCTAAATTAATGACGAAATTTGATTTAAATTTTTTCACTGGACATGTTTACAAGCAAAAAGTCCAAAATATTGTTTTTTTCCCTCACAATTGTAGGTTTTTTTTTGCTTATAGCGCAAAAAGAAAAAAAACAAAAAAAAAAACACACAGGCGATCAAATACCACCGAAAGAAAGCTCAATTCATGGGAGAAAAGGATATAAAATTTAATTTGGGTGCAGCGTTGCATGACCGTGCAATTGTCAGTTAAAATAATGCAGCGCCATAATAATGCAAAAAAAATGGCCTGGTCATGAAGGGGGGTAAATCCTCAGGACAGCAAGGGGTTAATATGTGCTGGTTTTACGTTACTATATGGATCTTTTTTTCTCCCTGTACACAAAGTTCTACGTTTCTATGTTTTGTATACACCAAAATCACTGACTGAAATCAGCAGCCAAAGTCGTGTCCAATCACAGCACAGGTCAGTAGGGGGAAAGCATGCGCATACCCACAGACCTGGAAAAAGGCAATCACGTACTGTATGTATAAGTGACTGTGCCTGACACAAGTGTTTGAAGGGGAAATGATGTAGAGGAAGTGATCTGCTTTGAAATGTAGTTAGGTTGTGGTGTGGTAGACATTTTTGTGAATTCTTTGCAAGATAAATTCATATACTTTGATCTCCTTGACACCTGTCTTAGTCCAGCTTAAGATAATCATGGAAAGAATGGCCCAGTGGAAAAAGAGGAGGGTGTTGTGCTGGTGTTGGTATTGCTGGAGCTGGTGTTGGTATTGCTGGAACTGACACTTTGCTGACACACAAATCTTTACCAATGCTAAATGCCTCTGCCTGGTACTGGGAGTATTGCTGGCTGGGTGATGCTTTAGCCTTCACACAAGCAAATGGTGTTAAAACCCGGCTGCTATGTACAAACAGACCATAAATGCCATAGTTGAGGTTAAGGCACATTACCATTGAAATCAATAAAGTAGCGGTTCTCAACCTCTGGGTGGCGACCCCTTTGGGGGTCGAATGACCCTTTCACAGGGGTCGCTTAAGACCATCGGAAAACACATATTTCTGATGGTCTTAGGATCTGAGACACCGCTCCTCTATCCGTCTCCAGGCGGGTCCGCCCACATGTGAGTACCCGGCGTGATGACATCATCGCACCAACCCCATCACAAATACAGGTGTATGTGACAGGGTTGGCGCCATAATGTACTTATGTGGACCAGTTGCACATGTGTAAAGAGCAGCTACTGCGTAGAAAGAAGCTGCTGTGTTGAAAGCAGCTACTCTGTTAAAAGCAGCTACTGTGTTGAAAGCAGCAGTTTTGGAGGTAAAACGGCACTTCATGAATAACTACTGGGTAAATGTAAATGCAAAATGTAGCAATGAAGTTTACGGTTATATTAAGACTTAGCCATGCTACACCATGCTTCAAGACAAAAAATTTAATTTATTTGTAATTAAAAATAAATATTTCACAATATATAATTACATATTGTTTTTGTGATTAATCACTATGCTTTAATAATGTTCAATTTGTAACAATGAAAATACATCCTGCATATCAGATATTTACATTACGATTCATAATAGTAGCAAAATTACAGTTATGAAGTAGCAACAAAAATAAATTTTATGGTTGGGGGTCACCACAACATGAGGAACTGTATTAAGGGGTGGCGGCATTAGGAAGGTTTAGAACCACTGCAATAAAGGCAAGTGTTAAGTGTCGATGCTTGAAAGAGACACGTCGCTTAGTTTTAAAACACAACACAATGCTACCACCCCTGTGTGTACAGCACTGTCGTGCCCATTGTACCATTCATGGCAAGCATTGAATGTTGCTTATGGGGCTTTATAAAACGCTGCTTAAAATATATCCACATGCAAAACTTTTTTTTTTTGATATTTGGATAGGGTGGAGAGCAATAAAAACACCCACATCATCAGGGAAAGGTGTGGGCACTGGGAAAAAAAGACCTGCAGTCTGGAAGAAAACTTCTGGCCCAGCCTGTCACAGGACCTTGGATTCAGGTAAGAAGTCTAACATTTATAATAGATACTTTTAAAATGTTATCTAGCGATTAGTTAGGAGAGGGTGAGGAGGGGCATTAATGTGCAGAGATAGAGAGGGGTTTGGCCAGACAGCAGCTTTAAAAAGTACATTTTTATACAATCAAAAACATTTTCAAAACCTTTAAATTTTCATCTTCAACCATATTAGTATTTTCTAAATTAATTTACTGTATATCCGAGTGCTTTTCTTTACATCTGGTAGTTCCAGCACTGTATTACTGTATTCACAAAACAGCAATTTGAGTCTAGTTATATGCAGCTCTCACACGACTATATAAATATCCTACCTGTTCTTAATGTCACTGTAGGTCTTCCGGTTGGGGAACCAACCAACCCAATGGTTGGCACATTGGCTGAAGCGACCAAACTTGATGCCACTGAAGCAGCAAGAGTTTTATTAGTACCTGGGTGAGCTTGAGGAGGGACAGATGAAGAAGAAGTCAAAGGTGGACAAGGTGCTCTGGTTAAAGCTGGAGGTGGTATTGACACACATTTAGGAGGAGAAGGACCCAGCGTTAAACTAACTGTGCTGGTGGTGTCATTTGATAAAGTTCTAGTTACAAGGAGAGAAGAGTCTTTTGTTACTAGTTTAGTTGCACCCTGTATGGGTGTAGATAAAGATGCAGCTTGGTTTTTAATGGGTGAAACAGCACTAGACAATGACGGTGTAGTTGATTCCATGTTCACAGAAGAAGATGAGACAACTGTAACCGCACTGCTTGATGATACTGGAGTAGACATTAGTACTAGTGGAGAAGACTGCGTATGCATCTTTGGCAACCCCACAGCACTGGGTTCAGGTGGTCTGACTTCAGGACTTTTCTTTTCTAGACTTCCATCTTCACCCATGACAAAGTGAGTGAAGACACCACTGGGTGTGGATGGTAAAACTGCAAAGTAGAACATTTGTTAATTAGTACGCTCCCAAGGAAGATTTGGCTTAAGACAGCGGTATTACAGCGTCAGTCTACCATTCTTCTAAAAGGACCTAGGAAGTGTTCATCTCAAAGTGGAACCTTAGGCCTGTGGAGACCCTGCCAGTATGTACTATAGTATTATAGCTTGCTTGCACATTACAGCACACTTACCGCTGGAGGGACACTCCTCCCGTAATGCAAGGTGCGAGTCCACACCACTGCCATCTTGTTCGGGGTTCAGCATTTTCTTGATTTGGCCACTGATTATGTACCTCCTATGTATTCACATAAAAGCTACATTATCCCAGTACCATTCTTAGCATCGTGCATATGTCAGAAATAGGCCTTGGACTGCACACTGCAGTATACACCACAGTATTCACAAAAATGTATTTGCAGACAGGTAAAGGTCTTTTGGCTTGTACCTCTCTTCAACCAAAACAACTCTACCTGCTAACAAAAGTTCTGCTTTAAAACACTTTTTGCTAGCTAATAAGGTCGGTTTTTTAAAATGGTTGTAAACCCTTACATATGTCCAGTAAAGTGACTAGCCTCAAGTGATACATATACATAAAACAAATCCTCCTACATCAGTTGTATCTGTATTTGCAGTCCTCTCTTCTCTACAGCTTTCTAAATCACAAAAGCTTTTTCTCAGCACCAGCAGGTGGGGGGGGGGAGGATCTGATGTCACATACTGCACATCACAGCAGGGAGGCAAGTCTAATATATTCCCTGAACTGATGGAAAAGGACATACCTCATTCTACACAGTGTCATAGGGATGCATGCACAGCTGAGGCTGTAAATCCCCTGCTGTGTGCTGGATTCTGGGGTGTCCGGATAACCTGTCAGAAATTACTAATGCAGATCGCAGAGGGACGAGAGAATAGACAGAAATCACACAGTGCTTTGGATTGAGGCTAGTACACATGATAGAGGGATATGTTCTGATAATTTTTCATTTCAGAGATTTACAACCAAGTTAAGCTAATATGGGCTTCTAAAAGAACAACACTATTATGTGCTGAAAACTCTGTGGGGTGGCAAATAGTCTGTGCATTTTGCAAGTGCAGGTCCACTCAATTTCCCCAGAGCTTAGTAAGACTGGTAAAGCTCCATCATCCAATTATGTGGAAGCAAAAATGCTTTTACTTTTCCTTGCACCCGAGGAATTGAATTGTTTACAAAGTGAAGCTTCACCACATTTACTAAGAAAAATGAATGCATCTGCACTTGCAAAGTGCAGCTTATTTGCTTTTAGTAAATCCACCCCAGTTAATAAAAGGAAAACAAAAAAATGAAAAGAAAAAAGTGAAACTATAATGGTTTGCTGCCAGTTTTGTCCATTAAAATGCACATTTGCTTTTAAACGAATTATTTTTATATCTTAAACTAGATGAATACAAATCATTGTTTTACAAATTAACATTTAGTACACGACAAATTATTTTCAGAGCATCATGTTAGGTTAGCTAAAGAGGCAGCTCTGAAGAAGCTGCCTGCCTATAGTCTCCCTTCACCTAAAATGAAACCTTGCACTCTGCTAACTTAGCAAGTGGGAGCTACTGAGCTCTGTTCACAGGCTTTATACAACACATGAGCTAAGGAGACAGAGGAAATGTTAAAGTGTCACCTGCTGGCTGGATAGAAGATTATATAAAAAAAAAAAAAAAAAAATAATAATAAATTAAAAAAACACGACAATAAGTACAAACGATTATACATTCCCGTTAAAGTTAAAAGGAAAGAAAATGCTAAAAATTAGTAAACAAAACTATTTCATTTCACAAACTGACAAACTCCAATTCGATCTTTTATACATACCATTCTTACTTTGTGGTGAAGAAACCGTAGTTTTCTGTCCATCTGTGGTGACTTTCAAATTTCCATTTGCTGTAGAAGATTCTGGCCTAGCATTATTAGCAGCTGCTTTGGCATTGGCTTCTTTAGACAAATAAAGCAGATTAGGTCGCAGTCTGTGTGTAATATAAGCTGCAATTCTATTTGCTGGATGAAGTGCTCCCATCTGACCCAACAGTAATTTAGCCTGCGGAAACGTTTTTCCATTGACCTTTAAAACATTAAACATTGTTTTATTATACAGCACTAACAATGGATATCCTGAATTAAAATGTTCAACAGGTAACGGCTAGACCATAGTCTGTTTGCAGAAGTATAGCTGTCACTATATCAAACTGTTAATACACGATTCAAAAAAAAAAAAAAAAAAAAAAAATAAAAAAAAAAAAAGGACCATTTTTACCCCCTTCCTGTCCAGGCCAATTTTCAGCTTTTAGCGCTGTTGCACTTATAATAAAAAGTCATGCAACACTGTACCCATATGAATTTTTATAATTTTTTTTTTTTTTTTTTTATACAAATAGAGCTTTCTTTTGGTGGAATTTAATCGCCACTGTTTTTTTTTAATTTTTTGCACTATAAACTAAAAAAGAGCAGAAAATATGAAAAAAATATGATATACGTTGATTAGGCTGCACTGATAGGCAGCACTGATGAGGCGGCACTGGTGGGAATTGAGGCACTGATGATGCTGCACTGACTGGCAGCACTGATTATCAGTGCAGATGTCCTCTGTGACACTTGCTGGTTATTGGCAGTACTTTCCTCATGCTGTGACAGCATGAGGGAAGTGCTGCTGATAACCAGCAACTGTATTTACGGTCATACACAGCGGATCACGTGGTAATAGACTGCTGTGATTGGCCCTTTACTTTGTCATGTGATCAGCGGTGTCCGTAAGACACAGTAATCACAGACAGTGCTGGGTGCGCACCGTTAAGGAAGTGTTCTGGGACAACGTCATGTGACGCCCTCCCAGAACTGGAGAGCCACGCTATAGCCGTCATTCGGCTATAGCCCAGTTGTCAAGTGGTTAATCAAGTATAGCATCAAGTCAAACTCCAGGGATATTGATCTGGTCAGTTATGTAGCAGAGGGAATGGTTTTACAGGTGGAGGCCACTGACGTTTTTTTTCCATACTCATCTTTTATGACTCTTTTTGACTAGTTTTGCATTTGGCTAGGGTAAGTGTCACTATTGGTAGCAGAAGGCGATACCTGGACCCTACAAAGGTTGCACAGGACGTCCAACTCCTCCAGGATGGCACATCAATACGTGCCATTGCCAGGTTTGCTGTGTCCCCCAGCACAGTCTCAAGAGCATGGAGGAGATTCCAGGAGACAGGCAGTAACTCTAATAGAGCTGGACTGGGCCATAAAAGGTCCTTAACCCTTCAGCAGGACCGGTATCTGCTCCTTTGTGCAAGGAGGAACAGGATGAGCACTGCCAGAGCCCTACAAAATGACCTCCAGCAGGCCACTGGTGTGAATGTCTCTCACCACACAATCAGAAACAGATTTCATGAGGGTGGTCTGAAGGCCCGACGTCCTCTAGTGGGCCCTGTTCTCACTGCCTGGTACCATAGAGCTCGATTGGCATTTCTTGGTATCTCCAAGAAAATCGGTCAAACTGATACTTTACATTCTCCTGGCTGCAAGAATTACAATAGCTAAATATTGGAAGCAATCGGTGATACAACTTGATTATGTAAAAAATAAAAACTTAATTGGATCATGATTAATGACAAGCTCACTTGTATTCTTAATAATGCCTCCAAATTCGACAGTATGGATTCGATACCTCTCTGTCCCTTAATGGGTTCATGGCTGACCCTCCTTTAGTTTATGCTTTCTTTTATGTTCTCCCTCTTCCTTTCTTTGACATTTTTTTCTACATTTTTTGATTCTGACATCCCACTTTGCTGTAGTATATACTGGTGTCTGACTACAGGTTGAATATGCCTATGGTTATTTGCTTCTCATTGTGCACTATATATGAGATTCCTCTTTACTGCTGTGATTTATCCTCTTGGTCTGTAGACTGCACCAGTCTACAGACCAAGTTTTTTAATAAAAAAAAAAAAACATGGAAAGATCAAGCACCTAGGCATGCAGACTATGTCTACAAATATTTGTGAAAGAATGGGTCGCTCTCAGGCGTTCAGTGAATTCAAGCGTGGTACCGTGATACGTTGCCACCTGTGCAGCTCTGCTCTCAGCAGAAATTGCACTGTGGAAAATGTTTCCAAACGCTAGATGTTGGTCTCACCAATAAGTCCATCCGTGAAATTTCCTTGCTACTAAATATTCCACTGTCAACTGTTAGTGGTATTATAACAAAGTGGAAGCCAAAACAAGCTATTAACCACTTGACCTGCAGAAGATTTACACCCCTTCATGGCCAGGTCATTTTTGCGATACTATGCTGCATTACTTTAACTGACAATTGCGCAGTCATGCAATATTTTACATAAATTAAATTTATGCATTTTGTTCCCTACAAGTGGAGCTTTCTTTTAGTAGACCCAAACTTCCAAAGTAGCCTGATGTTTTCCACTAATATTCACTACATCTACAATGATTTCCACCATATGAATACTTAGCCAAACATAGAAAGATATTTTAAACATATTTAAGGAATCAGAATCCCAAAACCCGGCTTATGTAGAGGTTAGGGGTTAAATTACCTTTTTTTTGTGCCCAAGATCCCAAAAACATTGTTGCAACTGTGGCAGTAAAACCGTTTGATTCCTTTTTTTTTTACATAATAGAAAATAAAACAGCATAATTGGTGCAGCTGGAAAAGTTTAGTTTGGTTCCTTAAAGAGGAGCTTCAGTCGTTTTGTGTTTATTAAACATCATCAGCTACAAAAACTACATAAAACACACTCACCTGTCCCAGGATCCAGCGATGTGCTCACCCCCACCGCCCCTTCTCTCCCTGGCACCGGCATCTCAACTGTAGGCACCCGGCTGTGACAGATTGTAGCTTCAGATCCGGGTGCCCACTGCGCATGCGTGAGTCACACTGCGCCTCCTGAATGGTCCAGTTTTCTGGGATCTGTGAAGTGTCCCAGAAGACTGCAGGGGGAAAGAGGGAGGCCAAACTTCCGGGTCATTATATTTATGCAAGAATTGCATGCATTCAAATCTTTTTTACCTGAATGAGCTCCGATTAGTTGAGGTTGGCTGTCATAACTAGGTACCCGCCCCCCACCAAAAACAAAATTGCATGCCAAATGTGGAGGGGGGGAGGAGTACTTAAAGCAGAACTTTCTATTTTGGGTGGAGCAACATTTTAATGTAGGGTAATAGAGCTGGAAAGGCTGGTGGATATTTTTTTTATTTTTAATTTATTTAACCTCTTGCCGTCCGCCTGCTGTTTATAAACGGCAGGGCGGTGGCAGTCCAGGGTCGGGTTGCCGTTCATAAACGGCACCCGCCCTTTCTAGCTGTGCGCGCTCCCTGGGAACGCGCACCATCGCGATCCGGTGCCCGCTGTGTCCTCCGGACACAGTGAAACACCGATCGTCGGACGGGACCTCTGTACGAGGTCCCGATCATGTGATCACTGATTGGCAAATCAGTGATCACATGCAAAGTAGTAAGCAAGATGTCACTTGTGACATCATTGCTTACTATGTGTGAAATCTGTGAATGATCACAGAGGTCACATGGTACAAGGCTATTCACAACAGCCTTGTACCATGTGACAAGCTGTGACCACTCACAGCTCACTCAGTAATTCTCAATGACTGCAAGAATGCAGACAGAGAGAAAGAGAAATGATTGCTTTTACATCCTATATGGGTGTAAAAGCAATCTGTGTAAAAAAAAAAAAAAAAAAAAAAAATCTTCGTCACCCCCCACAAGTAGTACAGTGTCACCATGGTGACACTGTACTGCTAGGGTGACAGTATGTAAAAAAAAAAATAAAATGTAAAAAAAAAGTTTAAAAATTATAATTTTTGGTTATAAACTAATTTGGATTTTTTTTTTTACTAAAAAAATAACGGAATACATTTTGGCTAAGATTTATGATGAAATATTATTTATTTGCAAAATTTTATTTAAAAAAACACTTTTTTTCAAAATTTTTGGACTTTTTCATTTACATAGTAAAAAAAATAAAAATCCCAGCGGTGAATAAATACCACCAAAATAAAGCTTTATCTGTCTCAAAAAAATGGTAAAAAATTCATATGGGTACAGTATTGCATGACCGCGCAATTGTCATTCAAAGTGTGATATCGCTGAAAGCTAAAAATTGCCCTGGACAGGAAGGGGTAAAAGTGTCCGGACAGGAAGTGGTTAAAGGATTAGTCCACGGATAAACAAGCAGATAAGTAAGCCCACCAACCACCTCTTCTGATTGCTATATTATACTTACGTAGGTATTGTATGCATTCAAATTTTTTCTTACCTGAATGAGCTCTGATTGTTTGAGGGTGGAATTTTTTAATTGAGCAACCAACTTTCCAGCTGGAATGATCTTGGAGTAGAATGGAAGACCTTTCCCACCATGAGACTTTATTTCTCTCTCAGATCTGGTCTCTAAGGGTATTTGCTCAGGACGTTTTATCTCCTCTGCTCTCTCCTTTACAGAAAGTGGTTTTGCTGTGACCTGATCTTTTTTCTGGTCTGAAGCCATTGAGATCTTTACATGCGAAGTGGCAGATGGTTTGGATGCATCTCCATCCTTATTCTCTGCAGTCAACTCGATATTAAAGCTGCCTACTCGAAAGGATCTTGGTTCCTTGTTATCAACATGCTGTGAGACAATATTGAGGACTTTTTTGGGATCCTGTTCCCCGCTGCAGTCTGAGATGATATTGAGTAACTTGGTGGGGCTGCTGCTGTCTGTTTTCTTGTACCTTTTTTCAACAACTTCTGCAAAAAATAAAAAAAGGACAATACATCACTTTATACAGTACAAGAAAAAAATCCCACGATAGATCAACTTTATAGGATCCAATCACTTTCAAATCAGGAAGACTTCTGTCCCCTCACCTAATCTTGTGTCCTTTATTAAAAACCCCGCCTTCCCACCAGTTTTGGAAGACCCATATGCTTTTAAACACTGGAGTTAACTAAAACTTATTGACATGCAACGCCTGCTTTTAACACAGGGTTACAAGTGTTCTGAACATTACATGTAGATCACAAATGACCTAAAATAAAAAAGTCTTCTGCGATTTACAAGTGAATAACCTTCTTTCAGCCATGATTCCTACCCTTACCAAAAGGAGTGACCCTGACACCTTTTGAAAACAACTGTTGGACTGATCCACACTACCCTGCCTGTTTTCTTTGCTGTACTTCCTAGTACTCAAAGACTCCTCTCAGCCCCGACATACTTACATGAATTAATGGGAATCCGATCCCAAAATGTTTTGGCTCTTGAACCTAACTATAAGGCATTTTACCGCTGGGATCTAGATCCAAATCAAATTGTGAATTATAGTCTGGTACATACAGGGACGTGCTTCTTAGGCTGTTCAGAGCCAGGAACCTATATGCGCATATGGTGGACTTACCAGATTGTCCAAACTTTGTAGACTCAAGTCTATGATAAGCCGAGAACACCATTAAAAAGTGGATATCTTAGTGGTCCCTGGTGAAGCACTGAACGCTTCAGTTAAAACTGGATGGGCTCTCTAAATACAAACTTAGGTTAAAACCACATTTTTACAGCGACCAAGCAAATTATGGCAAACCCTGTCTGTTGAACTCCCTCTACCTAGTAGCAGTAAAGAACAAGGTGAACTGGATTCTTAACCAATGAGAAGCTAACCACTAAACTTACTAATACAATATGCAAGTTTCACAAACATGAGACCCATGGATTTCACACTTCTTACCATCCGATTCTGACTGACACCTACTGGACCTAGAGTGATCTTTCATCTGATACTAAGAAAACCTACCTATGGATTCTGGGTGCTAATCCTTACCCCCTCCCACCCTTTTCTACCCCCACCACCTTTCAGCCAACTAATGCCTTTGTAGAATGGCTCTAAATGATAAGTACACGTAAAATGTATCTTATTACATAACTGTATTAATTGCTTTTACCACAAAAAACAAAAACAAAAAACAAAAAAAAAAAACACCACATAAAAAACACAATAAAATATGCTTCCCTACCACTGTTTTCTGCATTTTCTTTTTCCCGTTCTTTGTACTTGTTTGGTTTATGGATATTTTCCTGAAACAAAATAAAATATTTAAAGATGTATGGAAAAATCAAACTAGATAAAGAAAGCCAAATTAAAAGCATCTGTCACTGGGTTTAATAAATGGCACAAAGAAAAACCTTTTAAAGAGGGTTTATACCCTGCCCCACCACCTGTTCCTCTCAACTGGGCTCTCTTGCAGAACTACGGTCTCTTCACATCTGACACTTCTGAAAGTATCAGATGCCTCGTTCTGAGGAAAGTGCAGCCGATAACCGACAACTGTATTTACCAGGTGATCTGCTGTGTCATTGGACACAGCTGATCACGTGGTAAAAGGCCACAGTGATTGGCCGCTTACCATATCCCGTGATCAGCTGTGTCCGTAGGACACGATCACTGGTGGTGCCGGGTGCGTGCCGCGACCCAGAGAACCACGCTATAGCCAAAAGACGTAGAGAACTGGTTAATAGCAAAAAAAAAAAAAAAAAACATGTTTTTTTCTAAAAATTGTCGGTCCTTTTTTGTTTTTAAAACGCAAAGAATAAAAAAAGCACAGGTGATCAAATGGCATCGAAAGAAAGCTCTACTTGTGGGGGGTAAAAGAAAAAAAAAAAAAAAAAGAAAAAAAAAAAAAAAAAAAAAAAGGACATACATTTCATTTGGGTGCAGCGTTGCATGACTGCGCAATTGGCAGTTAAAGTAACGCAGCGCCATATTGCAAACAATGGCCTGGTCAGGTAGGGGGGTTAAACCATCTGGAGGGCAAGTGTTTAACAGGCACAGCTGTGAAGGGGACCAAAAAAAAAAACAAAACAAAAAAAACAAGATACCTTTCCAGGGGTCTCGGAGTCAGCACAAGGGACTTGGTCCTTCCTTGCGTTCTCCTCTGTTGCCTTAGGCTTGTAGACTCTAACTCGCGCACATGTCATACTGTTAAATTGCTGCAAATCCTCAGGATCCAAATCCTCCAGACAACCCTGTAGATGGACAGTGTTATTTACCAGCCCTAAATTGACAACATTATTAGTAAAAAGGAACACATCCACACGTTCCTATAATAGAAATGTCAGTGGTCTGCATCTGTTTTTTTATTCGATTCTAATACAAAGGAATATCACAGCCTATTTCACACAAGAGTAAAAGTAACTTCACCTTGGGAGAAAAAGAAAGAACAAGTCCCATTCAGCCTGTTCGCATGGCAGAGCTTGGACATTTTTTTATGCTACAGCTTATTCTACTGGGAGATACAATATTATGAACAAAAAATTCCAAAAACAACCTCCTGCGCTTAAATGGAATCCTATCCTTCAAAAGCTGCCGACACCAAACTTATACCCAAGTAAGTGAATGATCAATTGGATCACCCTGTTGAGTACACCCATGCAGTACACCCATGGCATGTGGTAAAAAGCTGGAAAACTCGTGGGCAAATGTGAGTGTAATACTTATTGTCGTTTTAAATTTGATGCAATAAAAACCGGTTGCACTATGGAGGGTCTCTGTTTGTGTCTTATCATGATCCTGTGAGGAGCTGGCTGTTAGTCTGTTGGAGGCTGGAGACGTGAGGGGAAAGCCTGAGAGGGACCCACTCTGATAGGATCACTTGATCCTCAAAGCGTGTTGACCCTGTGGGGTCTAATGAAGGAGGTGAGGGTATTTTGGCTGGTAAAGGATTGGCACGTGTGCACCACGTATACGGCACATTATATATTCTTGCATGAAGAGTGAAGTGTGAGGATCATCACAAATTATCGTATTACTATTATTATATCATTTTGGACTTTTTGAATTGATTATTTGTTCACTAATTTTTGTGCACCAGTATACATATTGTTTCACAATGTGCAAATAGGAATGTGTTTGTCACTTTTTTCACTAAATATTCCCAGTGAGGGAATTCACATATGACACAACTATTTTATTATTTATGTATTGATTTATCACCTTGGATATATAGATATATATATATAGGGGATGTATATAGAGTTTGTGCATTTTAACACGTAATTTGTTAGTATTATTAGCGCTACACTATTTATTTTAATTGAACAATATTATGAACACCACCCACCTGAAAATTGCAGTCAAGATAGAAAACAAATAAGACTTTTAAAGTGGTTCTAAATTAAAAGCCATTGACTCCTGTTACTATCAAATTCTGTGAGGAGGGATTGAGGGGCATGGCCAATCTGCCCTGTATGCGTCTATGGACACACAGCCTGGCTCAGGAGTGCGTCTGCACAGCTCACATCACAGCATCTGGCTCAGGGCGCATATGTGCCCCCACAGCAAGTGACTTGCTATGGGGCACACACAGCTGAGGAGGAGTCAATCTCACCAGAGGTAAGGGACTGCTCTGTACAATACCTTGCGCAGAGCAGGCAAGTATACACCTCTTATTTTAGGGGGGGGAAAGTGTGTAGAAACACGTTAAGCCAAATATAGGAATATATTAACACATTCATGCTTTAAAGGGAATGTATATTTTTTGTGATCAATGTTCATTTATATACAATATATGTATTATATAAACATAATTAGACCTTTTTCATAATTCTTTTTAGTCAGACAAAAAGTAAACCATTAGTGTCCCAAATCATAAATAAAATGAACAATAGCAAACATAAAAATTTTTGTGCATAGGGAAGTAACTACCTTAATTATAAGTGATAGGTGATCCTAAGTGAATCAATATATTAAACTTTCCAGCAAAAGCTACACTGAGACGGTGGCGTGAACTAGTGGTGCACTACATGATCTTTGATGGTGTATTTGGAGGATCCTAAAGTGCCTTTGGTTTATACGACACGGAGACCTTCCATGTGATCTTGGAAGCTGTGGATGGTTGACTGCAAATATATATGCCCATTTAAGAACACCTATAAATGTGGGGTCTCATCAGAGCTGGGACAAGGTCACCCCGTGCCCAGGGCAAAGATGGCAAACTGAGCCCCCCCGCCCCTCCCCCCGGATAGGGCTAATAGTGTTGTAATGTATGTAACTTTTGTGACATGCACTGTGAAAGTACCAATAGTTGTGTTACACTGCAGTAAATTGAAGAGTTTAAAGGTGGTGCACAACTAAGGGATCAACAGTGGCGATGGTTGTTGGTGTCACTGAAAAGAAAAACATCACTGTCAGTGGTGTCTTTAGAAGGAAAAAACATCCCTGTCTCAGTAGTGTCACTGGAAGTAAAAAGGTCCTAGCAATGGTGGTGTCATTGAAAGAAAAAATGTCCCTGTGTCCTTGGGGTCACTGAAAGGAAAAATGTCCCAGCAGTTTGTGTATGTGAGGAAAGTACGCAATTTTGTATGCATCCCCAATCTGCAAATATGTAAACTTAGGCTTGGGTATAAGAAAAGAGTGAATAGGCAAGGGGGTTGAGGTATTAGGAGTATGAATTAATGAAGAGCAGAGTGAACGTGTGCAGAGAATGTGCTAGGCTTCATCAGGGTGACAGGACAGATTGCAGAGATAAAAGTAAACTGGGATGGAAAGGGTGTCAGACAGATGGGTTTGTGGAGTGCCCAGAGGTGGGACCAGGAGGCTGCAGAATGTGTGTAATGCAGCTTTATGGAAAGGAGAAGGATTGAAGAAGGGATGACATAAATAGGAGGACCGGTGGTGACTTACTGCTTAGTTCTGCAGGGAAGACAGAGAGAGAAGTGTACGCAGAGCGTGGAGGTGAGATGAGCTGGATGAAGTGAGAGTGACTCACAGAGAAGGTGAAGTGACCAGGAGTGAGAGCAAGCTGATGGCAGACTGGAGCTTGGTGAAGGAGGGGAGTGATTAATAGTTGCAGCAAGTAGGAGAGATAAGGAAAGGTTGGATCAGCTGGAACAGAGGAGTTAGGGAATCAGTACAATGTGCAGTCAGAAAGAGGAAGAACGATTGTCTGCCCATTCAGACAAACGCTGAAGTTCCCAGTGTGGCCTTCTCAATACAGATTAAGCCCAAGCTCGGGGCAGGTGCCCCTTCTGCCCATGCCTTGTCCCGGCCCTGAGTCTCATCATCTAATAAGAGGCCATTGCAATTGGTGGCGGGGATTTCACTTGGCGGTGTATTTACACTTGGCAGTGGAAACGTATTATACAGATGAATGATGGTGGAACCCTTCTTCATACTATCTACATTTGATTAAACACATCAATAGTGAACGTTCTGTTTAATTATAAGTGATCCTAAGTGGATCAATATATTAAAGGAGTCACCTCCCAATGCACAAAATTATATATGTTTACGATTGTTGCTCACAGGAGGATCATTTATGATTTGTGACACTTGTGTATTTAAGGTAATATTTGTTTTATTATTTTGAACTTTTTTTATACAAGCCCAACAATCTATATAGCAGAATCATCAATTTAGACAGGATCCAATTAACCTACCAGCATGTCTTTAGAGTGTGGGAGGAAACCGGAGTACCCAGAGGAAATCCGCACAGGCGCAGGGAGAACATGCAAACTCCAGGCAGGTAGTGCAGTTGTTGGATTAGAACCAACGACCCTAGTATTTCCAGGTGGAAGTGCTAACCATTTAGCCGCTGTGCTGCCCATTTTTATTGTAAAACGTAAACCATTGCATAGGAGTACTGCATATTTTCCTCTTGCTGCCAGGTTGAGATGAGTTTGAGGAAAAGCACCAAGTTTTCAGAGGGCCAATATACATTACATGCGGTGACAGGCATTTTATCGCATGGTAAAAATGTCTGTCACCACAGAGACACAGGAAACAATGGTTTCCTATGTATCCAATTCACACTGCAACGCACCCTAATGCAGACATGCTGCATTTTCCCGCAGCACACTGGGCTGAATCACACTGCAATGTTGGGCAGCCCAGTGGAAAAACAGAAAAAGAAAAGAGAAAAAGAAGAGCCATGTGATGCACTGAATCGCACATCACACTGCCCCCTAGCGCAGCCAGCAACGCAGAGTGGCAAATCACTCCTGCCACTGCGTTGCAGTGTGAATTTGCCCTGAAGGTTTTACATACATACACACCACTGAATGGCACATTCCCTTCCCTCTCTCCTAACAGAGGACTCATCAAAATTTGTCAAACAGATAGCTACTATGCAGGCAGTATGATGCTTTTTATTACAAGCATGCATGCAGTACAAACTCTGTACCGTGTATTAAATGTTCATTTGTAAAAATGTAAATATATTATAGAATGAACAAATTATACAGATTTATAAACTTAGATAATGAATAAAACTGACCAAAAAAGTATTTTCTTTAAGTATTTTTACAGAACTAGTTCTGCATTCAGGCTACTTACTTCAGGTCTAGGAGTGTAGAGATGAGGGGATTTACTTGCAGAGGACTTGCCCCTCTCAGACTGTCCTCTATGGTATGGAGGTTTGCCTTCAAATACTTCACCTTTTTCAGGAATACAAAGAGGTTCTGGATCGTTATCCACATCAGATCTATCCCAAATGGGAAAAACTTTTGGGGACCAGTTCTTCAAACAGCTTTCAGCTAAGAACGGTGAAAAATATGTACAAGTTAAAAGATAACATAGTATTTTAAACTAAAGCCAGGGATGTGGAAATTTTTGAAAAAACTACTTGTCCAGGGACTAAATCTGGGTCCCAATCTACTTGTCCGAATTAAAAAAAAAAAATTAAAAATTTTTTAACCAAAACCGTATTTAATCTGGAGGTGCTTTTAGGAATGTGTGGGGCTTTATGGCAACTTAAACATTTAATTTTTTTAACATTACACTGTATATCTCCTCCTCCCCTCCCTGCTGTCTCCAGCACCGCACCCAGGGACTAGCAGAGAGGGGAGAGACCATACAGTGTAATGAGCACCGATTGGGTGCTTGTCAGAAAAGGGGAGTGTTGGGCTTATCCTATATCCCTTTCAAGTTTTTTTTTTTTTTTGCACAATTTTAAAAAATTATTTTAGGCTTGAAGATTACATAAACC